ACCCTCCGGTAAGGCTGCTAGCGGGGCACGCAGGCCCCCACAGCTGCAGACAGACCACCCAGTGAGGGGCTGCCAGCGAGGCCTCTCTTCTCTGGGGACACGTACGGGCTGCGATCGTGCTGCCCTTGTCCCCGGGAAGGCAGAACAGCCAAAGGGGTTCCATCCTGTGCCACCGCTCTGGTCAGTTTGGCAGGGGCAGGCAGAGCCCTGGACCCCGGTATGGGTCTCTAATGTCTTCTCCACAAAAGCTGCTGCCTTCCCACCTTTTCCGTGTTTCCCTGCTTGCATCCCCAAGGATCACGTTTGGTGCATTATCAATATTGTTCTGTAACCACCTTTTCAGATTGTCCTGTGTCACTGCTCAGTCCTTTCCCAGTCTAGTGGCTTTAGGACACAGGAAGATTGGAGTACATCTTCCTTTAAGCGCTGGGGGGGAAGCCAAGCCAGACTAATTCCATGCCTTGAGACAAATTCTTCCAGCTTTCCTCACCAAGGCACACAGTCAAACACGATATTGGTGTCACTACAGCATACTCAAATGCCACGTTACCTGTAATCTGAACCTCACGCACGTCAAAATCCTCAGAGCCTTTGCTTTAAACATAATAGCATTTTTAACTCTAGCGTATGCCACTCAGCAGTTAAGGGAGCTGGCATACAAACACTACTGGATTTGTCAGGAAGCCATCTATAAGCTAGTCAGTCCTTCACCCCGACGCTGCCCTATTCCTTGGATAGGTCCTATCACTCTTTTTAAAAAGCTGCAGATGCAAGTGGACCCGCATCTCACCACCCATGTTATCAACCTTGGGTATATCTTTACATGCCATTTCCACTACAAGATGCTAAACTGCAGCCCAGTGAGGAGACAGTAACAGGTCTGCAGCCAGAGATCATATATCAGAACATACAGCCACTCTGTCATACAAGTGCTGAACATCATGGCTTCTCTCTGTCAGATTAGTTCATTTCAAGTAGCCTGTCTGCTGCAGACATTACTTAATTTAGCCTGAAAATTTAATCATGGGAGCTAAAGCATATAGTAGAAAAAACCTGCTCTCCAATACTTGTCCATTTAAAGTGACTTGAGATCTGGTTGATTGGCAGAACAAGTAAGTGAGGACACAAATAGCACCTGAAAATAGGCCCCTAAAGGTTCCTTTTTGATTTTCCACTCTCACTTTTTCCAGCTCTCGGTGATGGGGAGTATCTCTACACCAACAAAAGGTGAAACTCCACATACAGGATTGCGATCCTAGAGAGTCACAGGTCCTCATTCCTGTATCCCTACTGAGCAAGGGAACAGTAACACTACCAGTACCCTAAATGCTGGGAAAAGGGGTTCAAAGGGGTGGGGGGGGTGGGGAGGAGGGAAAAGGCAAGTTTTCATAGGGAAAGGTGATCTAGCTTTGGAGTTATTTTTCATTAACTAGTGCACTGTCCTAATTTGCAATTTTACAGTTTTTCTTTTAAGTTAAAACAAGCACAGAAGAAGTTATATTCAGTTTTACTGATTAGCTTTATAAAACTGCTGCAGCTGAAAATAAAATCTTTGTTTGCTGGAAACACTTTTCCTTCCAACTCCTCCAATTTTGCCATTGTTCCTGAAAACTTTAAATGAGTTACTCTTCACTAGTTCAGTCCAAATACTGATTAAGCATTTACATTGATTTTCCCCCCCCACCCAGGATGGCTCAGTGGTATCAGCTACAGCAACTCGATTCCAAGTTTTTAGAGCAAGTTCACCAGCTATACGATGACAGCTTTCCAATGGAAATCAGGCAGTACCTTGCACAGTGGCTGGAAAACCAGGATTGGTAAGTATAGAAATTGGCCTTCAGGTCGTGCAATAAGCAACGTTCTCAAACGTGCTGCTACAGGAGGTAGGATAACACTGGGGAAAGAGAGCTGCTACGTGAACCTTTGCTGGTAGGATGCTTCAATAGCTGTGTGGGTGCTATAGCCCGGGTTCTTGCCCCTCTTCAGGGCTTTCTAGAGGGGCCTGACACCTGGGAGTAACAAGTGTACCATCTCGTATTTTCCTCAGCTGGTCTGTAACAGAAGCTGTTGTTTCAAGACCAATCAGTTATTTCCTTGGCAGCTCAGTCTCTCACTGCTTGCAGACTTTGAACTTTTGCTATAATTTCTATGGAGTAGCTGCTTTTGGAAGAGTGGTACAGTGTGCATACCTGCATCAGGTTCACTTTTAGCTTCTTGATGTGCATGGAGTGAGTAGATGAAGTTGCACAGAACGTAGCAAGAATAATACGGAGAAAAGCAACATTTCTGTATCAAGGAAAGTCAAAGTTGAGATAATGAAACTGGCTTACGTTTAAAGATAATTCTTACTGCTTGCATATACTCAGCTGGAGTTGGAGATTAAAAGTAAAGTATTCCTGTATACATTTTTTGAATGCTATATTGAAGGTGTATTTAACACAAGCATGCCTTAAATTTTTCTAGGGAACATGCAGCCAACAACGTATCTTTTGCTACGGTGTTATTCCACGACCTGCTGTCACAGCTCGATGATCAATTTAGTAGATTCTTGATAGAAAACAACTTTTTGCTGCAACACAACATAAGGAAAAGCAAACGTAATCTTCAGGTATGAGTGGGGTATACACCTATACATTTGCTTGAATTGCTTCAGTAGAGTAATTGGATGCCTCTAAGCAAACTACCCTGCCATGAGAGATTTTCACAGAGAATGTGCGAGAACCCTAATTTAAAGCCAGAATTCAAACGTTGCTCCATTTTTGTTTTAATTTGCTACCGTTAGAAAGTTACAGTTTCATTACCAGTACAGTTACAGTTTCTGAGAACTCTAGAAAAAAAGAAAGTTACAGTTTGTAAAGTATTTACTATACGTATTTGGAGCACTTACTCAAATGTAGTTTTGCTTACCCCACCCCTTCCCCAGCCAGTTTCCTCAGTGTCCTAACAAGCTTCTGGTGCAGAAGCAACACAGGAGAAGAAATCCTTCCCATGTAACCGCAGAATTACAGTTGATAGCAAAGGGCTTGTCATTAGATAGCACTTCTGTGCTTTGTATTGTACCGACAAAGAAAAGGTCCAAAGCAATTGGTAGTGAGTGGCAGTGCAGAACATATCCTTAGTGGACCTAGTTATTTCCTTTAGTCAGTCTTCCCTGTAGGGCTGCATGGCAGAGGATCTTCCATAGGCTCACCTTCTCCACAGCCTGTTTCCCACACACCTAGCTTCTCCTCATCACAAGGCAGTGATTAGGGGAGCATTTTCTGAGGAGAAGAGAACCAGGCTGTACTTGTTGGATAGTAACTATAGATCAGCAATGAAGACCAGTCAAGGCTGGTACAGCTCAGCCATCCCCAGGGCAGTACTTAATCCAGAGTGTGTTTCAATGTCATATGCTTGTAAAACAATAAGGTTGAACTTATATCCAGCCTTGACTGCGTGTTTGTAAGTGGCAGCTAACATCTCCTTTACATCACCGAGCAAGAGCTGTACCTGTCAAAATAGGACAGCCACCCTTCAAAACCAGCAGCTATACTTCAAAGGTGTGTGAGAACGGCTCTTGAGAGAAGGTGAGAACATATCTCACTTCTCCCAGTAACATCTCTGACCCTTTCCTGTTGTTTTGTGCAGAGTGCCATCTCTTCATACGCTAATGAACTAAAATAGAAATTCATTCTTGGAGGTGGTTGCAGCTGTCATGCTCCCTGCGATCTTGGGGCATGCTGTGTCCAACGTGTGCCCCAAGGCTCACAGGCAGTCACCCACTAATCTTTTTGCCAATCAGTTTACTGAAAGACGAGAGATTACGAGTATGAACTTTAACAATAGGCCATCTCTAATGCCAGGATAACTTCCAAGAAGACCCAATACACATGGCAATGATCATCTACAACTGTCTGAAAGAAGAGAGGAAAATTCTGAACAGTGCCCAGTTGTCAAATCAGGTAACAGGCTTAGAATGTCTGCTGTTCTTTCCTATTATATGGGGCAGAGGGAGTGGAAGAAGACTGAAAGAGGAAACAGGCTGTCCTCTCTCTGCTCAACAACATGTTTTTTAAAGACAGAAAAGTGAGCACTAATATGTACCAGCTGGATGGTGTGGCTTGTTTGTGCTATATAAGGCATTCGGAAGGGAAACGGCAAGGAAGTAATTTTTATTCCTACGCTTTTTTTAATGCTTCTGTAGTATAGCCTGATGTGCTCATCAGATTTTACTGCAGTTTAATAATTAGTGCTTGCCTTATTTCACCAACCAGATTTTAGCTTTTTTCTTATGTATTTTACTCCTGAATTTGCTCCCTACTGAGCAGCTGAGCCTTGGAGCTTCTCTAGACAAGTGATGCATCATTCTTCTTCCAGTTATCTCCAAGTACTTCTTTCTATTTTGTTTTTTTAAGTAAAGTCCATTTCTTTCCTCTGACCCATAGATAAAGCCATATTCTTCTCTTTCTTCATCTGTTCTCTGATTTTTCATCTTTCTGTTTTTTCCTTCTCAAGGAGAACTGTTTTGCAATAAAATTAATTCTGTGGTTGGGAAAAGGAGTGCAAACTGTATAGCTAGATGTAATCCACTTATGTGGTAATAAAGTGATGACTGACTGAGCATATTAAGTTCTGATACTGAAATACTTCCCTTTAGAGCAAGTTTTTGCATGTGTGTTGTAGAGAGTGGGAGGAGCACTCAGGCACAGGCTTTCAACAAGGAGCCTTAACGCAACTGCGTCCAAAACCAGCTCCTCGAAAACCATGACTGACAAAGCCCTTCCCCAATACCTTGTAGCTGCAGTGCAGCTGTGCAGTTTCTATTCTGGCACATGACAGAGCAGACACAACTGCCTTTCCAGCATGCAATATGTTTGGGTCATCAGAAAGGGAAACAAGTCCTCCAGTACTTACTATTGGCACTAGGTACACCACTATGCCCTACCTCTGCATTCTGGTTAACACTCTCATTTCCCAAAGCTGAGAAGGTAAAACCAGAGCAAGCACAATTATGAGCATCATAAAAACCAAAGGAGAATCCCAAGCATTAGAGTACGCTCAGATTGCATTAATGGTCATGACTGAAATCTATGACGAGGGACCTTTGCCAGTTTACCAGAATAAACACTTTTGATCACCTTAGCTTAAGCTGACATGTTAGAGAGGCACTGTATACCTGACTGTCCCACATTAGAGGAACAACAAGTTTCTAACACCAACAGAACTGCTGATGTGTGGAACGAAAAATCCTGTCTTTCAAATTACTGCAACTCTCCCCGAGTGATGTGATGCAATAAGCTTCCTGAACAATATTGGGGTCAGCTGTCAAAGAAACTGTACAGAGATCTAAAGAGTGCTTGAATGCCCTGTAGGAAAAAAATTACATACCGGGTTACCCCCTTTGCCTGTATGCAGGCCTATCTTGTTCTTAGCCTGTTTCTCCCTTTATCCTGTATGGATGAATCTCACATTTAACATAGATGTCAGGCAGTGTTCAGGGTTGCCGATTTCTTGAAATACATGAAGGTAAGCAAATAAAAGAATAGATTTGTGCAAAGAGAAAACAAAATACGTTTATAGGTTTATGTTGCTATGATAAAAAAATGCAGCATTGTCACACAGACATTTTTAATCCTCCCTTGTTTCTTGCAAATTCACTTCAACTTGATTTTATATTATAAAACCTTAGTATGATTTTTTTCAGAACAAGCCATGTTTCAAGCTGTTTGCTAACAAAAGCCACTAACTTATATCAATGAAAAAGTATTTGCTGTCATGGGTCATTCTGGTTTGACTTCTGTTGTTCTGCTTGCACCCTCAGATGGAAGTGGGCAGCATACAGAACACTGTGATTGGGATGCTGGACAAACAGAAGGAGCTTGATGCAAAAGTTAAGGCTGTAAAAAATAGCGTTATAGTAAGTATAATGTAACTATTTAAAGTGGTGTTTGTTGGTTGATACATGTTGAAAAGCTTTCAGTACATGAAATAAGACTTTCTAAAGTGACAAGTAAAAATAAGGTAATAGTTTGGTTTTCAACTCTGTCACCAGTGACTTAAAAGTAATTATCTGTCAATGGCACTGTAATACAGATTGGTATTTCACTGGTTTAGCAAGATCAAATTTCTTGTGCTTCAGTTTTAATAACAAAAGCTTTTACCCATCTGAAATACTAGCAACTGAGGAAAAGCTTAAGAAATCATATAGTGACCGTTTTGTTGTTAACTAGAACATAGATTTTCAGTTACCATATAGATGTTTATTGTCTTAAGTATTGCTTGGAGAAAATCTTTCTGTCATGACAGTATTTATTAAGAATTTGAAAGTTTGTTTAAAGTGCTGTGTGCTGTTCCAAGTTTTTCCACTGTAGCCTAGGTTCTCCTGACTTCTGTGAACTTACATGGCTAGACAATGACACCTTTTCCATATTTTATAGTTAACAGATTTTAATTAGCCGAGAAGAAGGGAGGGTGACTAAGTTTAGGGATAGTTCCTGTTAGGGACTTCCAGGAAAGGCATTGCTGTAATACTGGACTTCGTCTCTGTAAACGGCTGGTGCCAGGCAGTTCCTCATCACAAGTCTTGCATTACCTGAAAGTATTGAATAATTGTGGCTGCTTTCATTTGTGCATTATAGGACGTGGAGCAAGACATCAAGACATTGGAAGATATGCAAGATGAGTATGACTTTAAATGTAAAACCTTGCAGAACAGAGGTAATTTATCAAGGACATACCCTATTGCATGTAATTTATAAGAGTAAACTTTGCTGTCTTATGTCAGGAAACTAAATATGACAATATGTAGCCAAACTTACTGATGATATCCCTCCTTTATTAATTCTGCTTTACGCTGAAACCTAAATTCCTAAAAATGCATTCTTTGCATGTGCCTGTTCTTACAGGAAGAAAGCGAGCCTCTTTGTTAACACCCGGTTCCTTTGTCCTTTACATCCCTTTGCTACTAGAAATAGCAAACCCTATAGACTCACTGACCATTCAACCATACATCCAAATAGTTCATTTTATGCTTCTCTTTGTCATCTTGTATTTTACAAACGCCTTCCCTGCATCAAGTTTTATAGGCCCTTGTGTACTGACGGAAGCACATGCAGCTGTAGTCCCCACTGGTTTCATTCTATAGATCTGTCTCTATTTTTTACTTTGTTCTAGAAAAGGCTTCAGATTCCAGTGCAAATTGGCAGTTGCCTGTCCCTCAGAAGAGGGACATGTTCAGAAGAGACTACGGGGAACACTGAGCCGTGATCTTGTGCTCTGTACTTGGGGGCAGGTAGCGCTTGCGTGAGGCAGACAGGCACCTCTAACTTAAGGTCAGTAGGCAGCAGAGGGAGTAGCTAGGGCCGCTAAGTAGGATCTGTCAGCATGGGCTACACTCAGGAAGCTGTAAACATCCTCCCTTAAGATAACCTGGCAACAGAAGTTACCTGTTAAGTAAATAAGTGATTCAAGTCTGAAGTCAGCATGAGAACAAATTGCTCTGTGTGTATCTTTACACAATATAATCATTATTTTAAATCATGTTCTTGCTAAAAAAGCAAGCTAACTCACATCTCAATTACTTCACTGGGATAGCAGCTTTTCCTTGCATTAGTGCTTTAAGTGTAGACTCTGTCCTTTCAGAAGGAGGAAAAGAGGAATCACAAGAAAAGTCTAAGAGGCAGTAAATATTTCCTCCCTTAAGCTTGAGAGATATACACTTCACTTAACATTAGCCAGGCAGGTGCCCTCTTCCCCACAATGTTTCCTCCACCCGTACTTCCCTGTTCTCACAGGGGCACAACCTGTTGCACTCCTCCAGCCTCACCTTCACAATTTGGACTTATTTTACAGAGCATGAGTCCAATGGTGTGTCGCAGGAGGAATATAAGAAAGAGCAGATGAATCTCAAGAAGATGTTTTTGTCACTTGACCTCAAGAGAAAGGTAGCATTCTAGTTTTCTTTCAGAAGGTGACAGCACTTCATTTTGAACACATGTTCATTTTCATTGGGTTGACATAATTTATATAAAACATCAGCTGAACTAAGATTTCATTCTTTCCATCCTGACTGAAAAACCTAGCATCTCTAAGCAGTTCTCTTTTAGCAACCTTTATCAAACTGTCAGGTAAAGCTAGAACAGTGAAAGGGAGAAGTATCAAAATAGTCATGTTCTTGAGGAAAAACTGGTTGAAAAAAAGTTACAGCTCTAGCTTTTAATGTGCTCACTCTCATTGCAGTGCTCAAATCTACGGCAAGCACTGGGCAATCCCACACACACGCTTGGGACACGCGGTGCGAGACCCTGAGACAATCTTTAGAATTCAGCAATACTGAATATGTGTTGTCTCTCCACTTACTCTAGCAAATACTCCAGCTAAAGAGAAGCAGGTGTTTTAGGAAACATCCACTGTTGACAAACTATTACTTTGAGGTCCTTGCAAAGTTTTGCAAGACAGATAGCATTAGCTAAAACAGTACTTAGTTTTCCTATATTAAGTATTTTTAATAAACAGTAATTCCTCTATAGGAAGTGGTGAACAAGATAGTACAGCTGCTGAACACCACGGAGCACACACAGAGTGCTCTTATTAATGACGAGCTGGTGGAGTGGAAACACAGGCAACAGACTGCATGTATTGGTGGCCCGCCCAACGCCTGCCTTGACCAGCTACAGAACTGGTAAGTCTCCAGGCAAGGACTGTGTTGCCCAGGAACTTGAAATGTGTTATGAAGGAACACCAGATCTGCAAAATATACTGATCTATATTGCGCACTTTCATTCTGTCACAGCATAACTACATTTCATTGATTACCTCACCACATTTCCAATTAGCAAGAAGTGTTCCCTGTACACTGCCTAGCCTTTAGGGACAGTCACTTGGCTGGTGTCTCATTACATTATTACAATCCAAAACGGTGCTAAAAGTAATAAGATTCTGTAATTGTAGGTTCACCATTGTTGCTGAAAGTCTACAGCAAGTTCGTCAGCAGCTCAAAAAGCTTGAGGAACTGGAGCAGAAGTTTACCTATGACCCTGATCCCATCACAAAAAACAAACAAGTTCTGCAGGACCGAACATACAGTCTTTTCAAACAGCTCATCCAGAGGTAACAGACGAGAAGGGTCATCTTTGTGTTTGTGTAAATAAGTGGATGGAGAGCACCTTTCCTCCTTTTCCCTCAGTATTTCCTGCACACTAACTTGGCATTTTCTGAGGTTTTCCTAAGTTTATCACAAACATTAAACTCAATGACTATTTTTGAGATTTACCGTATTTAGGCTTTCCACTGGTTTAGGCCCATGGAAAGGGTTTGTGATTAGTCATCATTTAAGTTTGCAAGAGCTATGCTACAATATGCATTGGTTACGGAATCAAACTCCTAGTCTGTTAATCCATTTCTCACTTCAAGCTTCAGCCCTGCAAAGGTATCTCTAGTAGATAGAGACAAGAAGCCATCCACACCAAGCTATGCCCAAGATGATTACATGCTAGATTCTCCAGCCCTTTGCCTTGGGATGCATCTTCTTTGTCTCCAGCATAGGGAGGCCAGCCATATCGCTGTACCATCTCTGTGATGCAAGTTACTGTAACTGTAATTGCCCCACATAATGTCAGAGTCCCATTCTGTAAACATACAGCAGACAAGAATTCCTGCTTCCAGATAAGAGCAGGGCCTTAGATAAAGTAGGTTCTAGCCTCCCTTAACAGGGTGTTACCTAGGTTTCCAGAGTCCCATTCAGACGCTTTGACCACTAATCGGAAAACACAGGCACTGCTTTTCAGTGAAGTGAAGGCAGCGAGGAAGAGCTGTAGAAGCCTATCTGCTGTTTAATTATCTAAACAGCAGCTTACAGATATCTTGCCTATGAGTATAGTGGAAGGAAAAGTCTCCATGCTGCCTAGGACTTGGTAACAGTAGAAATACTTCAAAATTTATGTCTATGCAGCACCATGCTAAACAAAAGGTGCCCAAGACGCAACAGTTTGGGGTGTATCAGAACAGGTTAGCCTCAGGAGATTGCCTTGTAGGGTTAGCAAGCCCTCCTGAAATCCCCAGCTCGTTTATCTAGCTCTTGCGCATGTGTTGTTACGTAGCACCGTAACTGTAAGTATTTAGCAAGTATTAGGAAGTTGCAAAGCCACACTCCTCACTTAGATTATGCTGGTTACCATCACAGTGTTTACATGCCATTTGATTTCAGGGAAGTTTGAGGTAGCACTCTTCCCACTCAAGTCATCAACGTATTCAGGAAAAGCCACCCCTTCGGAAATCACTTTATACTTGCAGTATCTCTAATGCTGTTGATACAAGTGAAAAACCCCCACACGGACCTCTGCGTAGATAGAAACTGAATGAATAAAGTGTATAGTACTACCAGTAAATCACCGTTCTTTTAAAGTTTACTTATGTAGTTTCTTATTCCTTAAGGACAACATTGATAAATCAAAGTGCCTTTAATATGTTCTTTCCACAGCTCCTTTGTGGTAGAGAGGCAGCCCTGCATGCCAACACATCCTCAGAGGCCATTAGTTCTGAAGACAGGCGTACAGTTTACTGTAAAGCTGAGGTATGTTTTCCCTTTCTCCATCTTGTTTTGTGGTAAGCCTTTCATGTCACTGGCTTCCTGCAGCTGAAAGCATTGCAAATCTTACATGGTAGCCTAAGCCCTAAGGTCAGGAGGAGGAAAGTGCCACATGGCAGGGGGATGTCTTCTAGCAAAGTTTAACTTGCATTTAGCTCTTACCCTTTAGCAGGAGCGGGGGGTATTGAGTGTATAAGAAAAACAACAGAACAGCAGAATGCACGCACACCACTCTGTCATGCAGAAGACAAACTCATTTGCCCGTCTAGTTTCCTCTCTAAATCAGGACCTGGGATCAGCATCTACAGACCTTGCTAATTTATCCTGTCACTGCAAATATAATATCTTGTATTGAACAAGCTTGGAGCCTGTACATAGCCCCGAGTTGTGCAGCTTAGGTATACCTGTGATAAGCAGTATGATAGAAGAGAACCTGTCTTTTGCAATTGCAGTCAAAAAAACCAAACACAAACTACTTTCTCTTTCCAGATTGCTGGTGAAATTGCAGGAATTGAACTACAACTTGAAAGTCAAAGTTTTATTTGATAAGTATGTTGCTTTTTTCTCATCCCTGTGTACATTAATGGTAAGCAGTCCCCATGTTCAGAAATCCAGAAGGCAGTCATGTTTTAAGTGTCAAGTTGGCCAGGAGCAGGCTGGTTCTCCATGGCAGCAGGTGTATCATCCCTTCCTCTTACCCATGCCCTTGCTCTAAATCTCTCTCTGCCATTAGAGACTTGTCACAAAGCACAGAAGGTCTCTGCGCTTGCTTTAAGGGTAGGGACAGGGTAGCGAAAGAAAAGGGAACGAGCTCACCAGGATAACAGTGGCTGTAAGGTCATGAAAGGGGGATGTGCTTTTAAGAAAGCAGGAGAGTTTTTATCTTCACATTCCAGTCTTTAAGCAGCATTCTGTTCACTTGAAACACCTCTGGGGTCCAGAAGCTTGCATGAAATGGGGGAAAGGAAAAGAAATTCTTATGTGGATGTGGGAGCTGAGGGTTTGAGGAGTGCACCAGGTATAACGCAACTCAGTAAAATCATAAGTGTTTGGAAAACCGCTTCAAGGGATGCAGCACTTTATTCAACACATTGCAGGCTTTGAAAGCCACTTTAGAATGACAGTACTATGTATTTTTTTCTCAGAGCCAGAGTTAAGGCCTGTATAGTAGAAGAAAGGACTTGCTTTGATTATAAAAGCCCCCATAGCAAAATTTAAACCTCAGTAAAAGGTGGCCCATGTAGCACAATATTTATTTTGACTGCTTGAGCCAACTGCCTCCTCCTTTACGCAAAAGATTTCACAGAAGCATTTTACCAATTCTCAGTCAGCTACTAAAACAAACACCCACATTTTCTGTGTCTGTGGCAGAATCTTTAAAAGACTTGTCATTTTTGTCTTTTTTTTTTTTTTAACAGAGATGTAAGTGAGAAGAACTCAGTCAAAGGGTACGTGTCATTACAGTTTGGTATATTAATATTGGGTTCTTTCAATGAATACGAGACCATTCTTTTCTCTCTTTTTATGAAGGTTCAGGAAATTTAATATTTTGGGAACAAACACAAAAGTAATGAACATGGAAGAATCTACTAATGGAAGTCTAGCAGCAGAATTCAGGCACTTGGTAGGGGATTTTTTTTCTTCTATTAACACATCCATTCAATTGTGTGGGTAGAGGGTGTGGTAGGAAGGATACAAATTGCTTTTGTTATTGTAGTCATCATTTATTTTGGTATAAGAGGAACTGTGAATCATTTTTCTTTGTTCTTCCCTTTTTGAAATCTTTGTCCCATTTCAATTGAAACGCTATCGCTTGTCACTGAAGTAAGGCCAGAGAGGCAAACAAGTATTTGCTGCCATACAGCTTATGTTGCAATGAGTTCTTTGGAGGAAAAAAGGAAGCCAAAAATGATATTTTGGGCCTTTCAGAGGAAGGCCCATAGATGGGAGAGCTTGGAGTAGTTTAAAGAGCTTTGAAACTGGAAGAGGAAAATTGTCTAGGAGGGGGCAGCTACAAAAAAATTCAGTGCCTTGAACAGACTATACAACACTATCTGCAGATTGCGAGATAAATCAGATTGGTTCCATCATTACAACAGGAAAAGTCCTGAAGCAGTGAACATGGAAGTCTCCCTTCACTGTCCATAGCAGACACTGTCTGGAGTTTATTGTCCAAGTCAGAGGGGTACTTTGATAAACCACTATTTCATCTGATCCTTCCCAATTTCACACTGCTTCTGTTCTTATGAGGCCTCGTACATAAAGGCATTACATCAAAAGGATGCAATATCTATTTTCACAGATGAATGGTTTATAAGAGACTAGTAGTTACCTATAGTTTAATCCTTTGGCTTCCACAGCTTAGGACCAAATAGGATCAGACACTAGGGCAGCAAGTTTGCATACAGTCAAACAACTAAAGCATGCAAGTGTTTGCATCCCTTATCACTTTCATTTGTGGCTGAGGTAAACGAGTAACAGGGGTTTTTGTTTGTTTGCAGCAACTGAAAGAACAGAAGAACGCGGGGAGCAGAACAAATGAGGTAAGCAACACTAACCTTGTTCATAAAGCTTTGTGTAATACCAAAAAGGCATTCAGGCATTTAAGACAATACTCTGCTCAGTGCCATGAAAAAAGACAGGATGACAGATTAATAAAGGAGGAGTTCAGTGTTACTGGGAAACAATCCATTTAGGAGGCATCTGCAGATGAGAGCTACTGCCAGAATGGTGCCCCTCTGGACTCTCCCTCACTGGCACCTAGCTTTAACAGGACTTTCTGGCAAGGACAGATTCTTATATGGCTCTGGGGTAGAAGCCAAGAAAAAAAAAAAAGGGTATTTTCTAGGCACCTTTAGGAAGTTAGCATTGTCACTTGACTTTGACCTGTAAACCATTTCTGATGTCTAGAGTAAGTAACCTTGAGTAGAAAAGGTTTTTCCCCTATAATAAATCCCTTACCTTCCCTGCACGCGAATTTTCAGACCCTGAAAGGTTTTTGGGTTTGGTTTTTTTGTTTGCTTTTTTTTTTTTTCCCTTTAAAGGGTCCTCTCATTGTAACAGAGGAGCTTCACTCTTTGAGTTTTGAGACGCAGCTGTGCCAGCCTGGCTTGGTAATAGACCTTGAGGTATGTCTTAGATGAAAGAGAGATGGACTTAAATTTCTGTATGTCACTCATGTAATAATCTAAACTTTTTTTAAAAAAGTACTTGGATATAAAACACTTTCAGTTATTTCAAAATACATTAATGACACTTTACAACACCTCTTTATACACATATACAGTGAGAATGCATTCAAATCTCTGGGTAACTAAGAGTAGATGTGCTTTGCAAAGTATCCAGTAACCAGCAACCAGCCCTGTGTTTTAAGCTCTCTGGGTATCAGTTTCCACTTATTTCAGAAGCAATATGCTAAGAACTCTGTTACTATCAGTGCTATCGTAACTGACACTATATGGAGGTCTTTATCAGAGACAAAAAAAAGGCACAACCCAAGTCTTTCTAGTACTTCATCCTACTGACACTTTCTCCCCTACGTACAAGTGTCAAGTGAAAGAGTTAAGACCATGCAAGCAGGGAATTGCAATGGAAATGCGTTTGTGGGTAATCTAGGGGAGGGCTGCAGCAGGGGTACAGGGCAATCTGACACATTTCCTTTTGTGTCCCTTTCAGACCACATCCCTTCCCATTGTTGTGATCTCAAATGTGAGCCAGCTTCCAAGTGGATGGGCTTCTATCTTGTGGTTCAACATGCTGTCTACTGATCCCAAGGTATTTAAAAACACCAAAACCAAATCAACACCCCCCCTTCTACTTCTTTATGTAGAAGAGGAGCTTCCTCAGCTCCCAAAATTCCATCAGAAATACTATGTGTAATTTTCAAACATTGCCTGTATACAAGTGGCTGCTGCATTTTTCCCATGCAGATGACTAATGGAGAGAGACAGTGACCTACTTACCTATCCTAAACAGAGCAATGTTTGAAACTCACATAAGGATATTATACGTTGTATTCAGTATCTACAGTACACAGTGAGAAGCCAAATGAACTTTTAAGAATTCAGATGCAGTGCACTTGGCTGATCTAGGAATTCTACCCAGTGGGAGGAGACATGTCCAAAGGAAAGACCCAGAGATTGCTTTTCCGGGTAAAGAGTGCCTGTCAGGGTAGCAGCCTGCTATTCTAGAGGCATCTCAAGCTGACATCCATTCTTAAGTCAGCATTTTGTTTTGGCAACATGCTTTTGTAAATTCAAATGGCATTCCAAAATTAATGCTTATTAACTGTAGATTATATTTTTCCCTTCCATTCTAGAACTTGTCCTTCTTTCTGAATCCACCTTTTGCAAAGTGGTCTAAACTTTCTGAAGTTCTGAGTTGGCAGTTTTCTTCTGTAACAAAGAGGGGACTTAATGCGGATCAGCTGAGCATGCTGGGAGAGAAGCTACTTGGTATGGTCTGCTTCCATCACTTCAAACCCTTTGGTTCTGCTGAACAAACAGGTGGCCTGTTTGAATTGAAGCCAATTCTTTTCCGCAATGTATTTTAAGTTTTTATTTCCTGGCACACCTTTTCCCTTCATATGGTGTCACTTTATAGCAGCGGAGCATTTTCCAGTTTTCAGTATGGTAGAGTTTGCAAATGACAGTCAAGCCGTGAAAAGGTCTGCAGTTCTAACTGAGGAGTTCTATGCATTAGGGCAGTGCGGATTGGGACTACTTCTGCTTTTTGAAGAGCTGCTGAAACAATGCACATGTTTAATCAATCTTTGAGGTGGCTGTTTCTTGGGGTTTTGGGGTTTGTTGTTAAATCCATCTCCATTGATTTTAACTTCATGCATGCCCCAAGTACAGGGGGATTTACTCTGTCTGCATAAACGCAGTTGCAATATCAGAGTGCAAACACTATGAAACTATTAAGGGATATCAAATGGAACGTATCCCAAATGAAAGTCTACAGCCTAATCAGCCATGAATTTTGTTTTCCAAACTCCTTGTCAGTTTGCCTGATAGGCAGGACACTTGACATGGCTACTGAGTTTACATGGTAGACTATAGTTAAAATACTGTATATTCCACTAACCTTAAGTTTCAGGCAGCATTTATATTTAAAGGGATTTGACATTAGTGGGTCTGGATGGTAAGTACAGCATTCCAGTCTCATATTCCCTTCATCTAGTTTCCCCAAGACACAAGATCTGACAAAAAGCTTACTGATTTAATAGGTTACTTTTCAGAATTCTGCAAGGAGATTAATTTTTATTAGTCTAATTAACCATCTGGAAGACAAAGTGACCACTGACATATTTCTATGGTCAACTTGCAGTTCAGAACTTCAGAGATTCTTTGTCAGGCTCCAAGTAACAGTAGAGATGCTATTTAACTCTTCTGTCTTCAACTAGAAGTATTTTACTACTAAAAAAAAATCTAGGTAGCTGAATGCTATATTTAAAGGGACTTGGGGGTCTTGGTCAACAGCAAGTTGAACATGAGTCAACAGTGTGCCCTGGCTGCCAGGAAGGCCAACCGTATCCTGGGGTGCATCAAGCACGGCATTGCTAGCCGCTCTAGGGAAGGGATTGTCCCACTCTACACCGCGCTGGTGCGGCCTCACCTCAAGTACTGTGTGCAGTTTTGGGCACCACAGTGCAAAAAGGACATGAAACTACTGGAGAGTGTCCAAAGGAGGGCAACAAAGATGGTGAAGGGTCTAGAGGGGAAGGTGTATGAGGAGAGGCTGAAGTCCCTTGGTTTGTTTAGCCTAGAGAAGAGGAGACACAGAGGAGACCTCATTGTGGCCTACAGCTCCCTCAGGAGGGGGAGCGAAGGGGCAGGCGCTGATCTCCTCCCTCTGGTGACCAGCGATAGAACCCGAGGGAACAGCATGAAGCTGCAACAGGGGAGGTTTAGGTTGGATATCAGGAAAAGGTTCTTCACCGAGAGGGTGGTCGGGCACTGGAGCAGGCTCCCCAGGGACATGGTCACAGCACCGAGCTTGACTGAGCTCAGGAAGAGTCTGGACAATGCTCTCAGTCATGTGCTCTGATTCGGCTGGTCTGTGTGGAGCCAGGAGTTGGACCGATCCTCTGGGTCCCTTCCAACTCAGGATATTCTATGATATATTCAGGATCCCTTGGTGCAAGGGGACGCAGAATCTATCAGGGTGCCAGGATACCACTCACCTGCTGCTTTTGTGATGTGAAAGTTGACAGAATCTTGGTGTCAAGTATCAGAAACAAGCTCCCTAACCTAATCTATTTTTAGAGATATAGGAGGGAAAGCAGCAGATTCCTGACTTTATTGAAATCCATAGCATGATCTGTAACAGAAAGAATTTGGCTCTGAATACAGTCAGGGTCTGCAAAGCTCTAGCTGCTGTAGCCACAGCATAGGATTTTTGTTGCTGTGGTTATGAAACACTGTTGACATAAAAACAAGGCAGGGGGGAAATGATTGCAACAGGAATGAGATGAGTCTTTGGTTGGGGCAGACCTAGGAGTCAAGAGTTTCTGGGGCAAAAGCCTACAAGTCACCAGGACTGAGACAGGGAAGTGCTTCACCTCAGAAAGATGTTGTAGGCTCTGCTGAGCTCCTACAGAAAAGCTTATGGGCTGCAGTGTTCTTATTTTGTTGGAGAAGATATGTGCAACATTTCAGTCTCTTTCCTGGAAGCACTTTGAAACTGGCAAGCATTAGGCAAGGCACAGCACAGAAAGTGTGAGAACAAATTCATTCCCATTACACAAGGTCTGTTTAAATACATTTCGTCATTCTCAGGCAGTGAGTTTCTCCAGAGGGGAGCTCTACAAGCCCTCCCTGCACTAGCTATCAGACTACTGTAGCCTTACATTGCTTTGAGTCCAACAGCTCAGAGTTGTAAATAAGCACTCAGAACTTGGGGCTATAAATACTTTTCTTTCAGCCTAAGTAACTTATGGAACATGACAAGTAAATTTATTCTGTTCAGGGTCAGCATGTGGAGGATCTCACGATGGCCTTATTCCTTGGACAAGATTCTGCAAGGTATGAATGCAGTTTAAAAATTGAGATAGAACAGAGAGCTTTGTCTTGGGGTGGTTTTTTTTTTTTTGAAGGCCAGGTTGGGGTGGGTTTTGTTTGTTTGGGTTTTTTTACTCCTCTAGTGTGCTTTCTTTTTCAGTCGTATATTCTAGAGCTTACATAGTTGTGGGAGGTTTTGATGGTGAGGTTAAAGTAGCAGCAAAAGGAGGAAAAGGGCTTGTAATAGCAAGGAGTAGATGATTTTGAGCTATGTAAACTATACAGAAAAATGAATTATTAATGGAATTGCTATTAATAGCTCTCTATTTTAACCATTACAGAAAGTGTTAAAAACCCCCAGCAAGATGAGCAATTCTTCTCTGTCATAGTGAGGGACATTTCCCAGACCAGGGGCAACTGGGTTAGAGTGAGGATTAGCACAGGGCAGCCAAGAGGGTCACCATGGTGGCAGAAAGCCACAGCATGAGATTTCATAACCCTGGCTGCAGCAAGACAGGAGAACTCTTCATGCTTTCTTTGGCTTTAGACCCTAAACTGGGATTGGTAAGCAGGAGACAACAGCAGACAGGAACAGACTCCAGGGGAAGAGCAAAGCTGTGGTGACCCTACAAGCACTCAAGTTCATTAATACCAGTCTCATGAAGAATGGAAATCAGAGTCTGAACAGAAAGCATCTCTAAACTATTCTGCTAGCTAGCGTGGTTGAGGGCCCCATGGGGTGGTTTGGGTGTTGCAGAGCTCCAGTAAGGACAGTGCCCAGGCAGAAGCCAGAGCCTTTTCTCTGTTCTTAGACCAGCATCATTGCAGGAGAGGTGATGGATCTGGAGGCTCAGGCAGGCATTTCTCTCACACTGCCTCTTGCCTTAAGGTTCAGTACATGCTTCATTCCTAATAGGTTTCTGTCCTTCTGGAGTAGAGAAGCAGAAAAGGGAAAAAATCTTAAGAGAATATGGGGATGCTGGGAAAGAAGAAAGAAGGGAGAAAAATAAAAGAACAAGTAGATGCTGGTAGGATTGAGAGCTTGCTTCCTCTGCTTAATAAAACTCCTGTTTCATTATCCCTGTTCTCCCCCTTCCCACACTCTGAATTCCAGGAAAATATAAATGATAAAAATTTCCCCTTTTGGCTGTGGATTGAGGGAATCCTGGAGCTTATTAAGAAACACCTCCTGTGTCTCTGGAATGATGGGTAAGACCCAAGTGAGCTTAACAGACACGGTCATTGCCTTAGACTTTTCATTTAGGCTAGCAGTTGCATCCTCAGGTTGTGCTATTGTTTGTGCAGATAATTTGGATCCAATAAAGTGGAATTTGCAATCAGAAAATCCGAGGCAAATATTCTAGTAGTGAGGAAACCTCTGATGAGGCAACCGCTTTTAAGCAAAAATGTCTGATGACCAAGCTGTCCCATTTAAGTCACAGAACAGGGCTTCAAATGTTAGAATTTTTTTTGCCTCTGCTCCTGGCTATAAGTAGGTTCTTTCCACACCCTAGAACAGAGCCTCTCTTGTACTTTAGTCTTCCCTGTCAAATACAACAAAGTGTAAGTCATAAAGTGATCATCCATCTTAAAAATCCAAAGAGAAAAACCTGCCCACAAGCAAGCTTTGTGAGCCTCCTCTAGGTGGCAGCAGCCAGACTCTGAACATCTCTCTCTGCAAACGAGTCCAGAAAACACTCTTTACTGATTTTAATAGAGTATTATTAAGTAGTAAGACTTTGCCAGATGGTAAAGCAGTTCCATTTGCCCTTTAATACTGGTTTAGTAAACTTTCAGTTTTGGTGTTGCCAATTTCAGAAGCAATTGCTGCCAGAAACAGGTTCAGCCAAGGTCACAATCCTGCCTCCTAGGTTTAGCTGCATTATGAAACCCTATCAACAGCACACTCACAGCAGAGCACCTGAGTAGATCCCACACACTTGTGAGATACAACAGCAGGGTTGCTCCATCTTGCCAAATTCAGTAGCAGGCTTCAAATTATTACCCCCTGGCTCCAGATGAGTTCTGTCAAAGCCCTTAGCAGTACAAGCCTGGTTTCACTGCCTAAAGCCCACATATTTCATAGCTAAGTGGAGTCCAGCACAGTAGAAGCTTTTGCCACTGTTACTGAAGCACAGTTGCAATTCTGTCCCATTTGGTGTTCCACCTCAGCGCGGCTGTGCACCTGTGGGATTGTTTTCACATGTGTCTTTGATAGCATACAGCCTTGAATAGCATTACTCATTGCTCTCAGTTATGAGAGCAAGCCCCTGTTTAGGGTTTAACAGAAAGAAGAGGTGCAAGTTAAATCCTGAAGGTAATCAAAGCCAGAGTACTATTAGTTATTCCTCTCTCAGCTGGCTTTGTTGGATAGTCACAAATCTTTGTTTTCTAAAAAGGCAAAGAGGGAAACTAAAGGGAAAAATCTTGCAAACTACACAGATAATTGAGTGGAAAAGAGACAAAGCTATAGTATTCGTTATGATAGAGACTCCCATTGTACACAAAAGGATAAGTATTACACCCTCAGAAACACTTGCCTTTCTTCCATCTTTAGTCTTCCCATCCCTTAAGTATATCATTATACACAGTGCATTTACTACCAAACAGATTTGTTACCTAAAACATGCCATATTAAAAAAACCAAACGACAAAAACACACAAAACCGAACACCACCCAAAACCCCTTCCCACAACCCCATAAAATAGAGCAGCTTACAGCACCTGAAATTTCTAAGCAAAATCATTATTATTTAGTAGTTTTTGTACAAAAAGCACTTCCCCTAACTTAATGCACAGAAGGACAGTAGTACTTTTTGAGTAGTACTCAATAAGCAGCAGTGCAGAGAAATTCTAACCTTTTAAAAAACAAAAAGCCAACAGTTGGGGTTTCACTAGAGTTATGCCCTAGTGCTGCTCGTACAACTCCCTCCCCAGTCCCAGTTCAGACCAATCCATTTCTTAGAGTTACCACCTTGCCTACGCAATAACATTTGCTGAGCATAATGTATTGGGGGAATATGAAAAGGGTTGTAGTCACACAAGCCTAACAGCTCATCCATGTGCACAAGGAATAAAACAAAGCCCACACCTGTATGGATGCAATCTGGTAGCTAGCAGACTTTTTTTTTTTTTTTTTTTTTTTTTACAATCAGCCAAAGAGGAGAAAGAACTGTTCCTTAATGTACTTTGGAGGTTAAAAGTGCTAGCTAGAATCTGACCATATCGCACACATATAACTTTACTTCTGCTTGCACAGCCCAGTTTTGACAGCAAAAGACAATCTCTTTTATTCTGAGCTCAGAAAAGTGATTGTGTAAAGCCACCAGGCAGAAGGAAGAGCACTGAGGGAAGCTGTGGCAGGGCATGGCTTTCACCGTCAAAGACCAAG